TTTTTTTTTTCAGTTTTTGTTTTTTTTTTTTTTTTTTTTTAAGATTTCAGTTCCGTTTTCACGTTTTTTTATAGTTTTTTATTTTTTAAAACATGCTAAAAGTGTGGTTTTAAACCCAAAAAAATTCAAGAGTCCGCCACTAAAACTAAATACTACTACTTTCTTGAAATTTTGTTTTGTTGGCTTATATATACACGTTTATACTTTTATTTTTCGAACCCCCTGAACGAAAATTCTAGGTCTGCCACTGGTAGCATTGCATTGCATCCCATATACTTAGTACATTCAAATGTACTAATGCATACTCTATGCCTACATGATGTCACCATGTAGGGACCGGAGCACCGCTTGACCATCCTCCTCCGCGTGGCTAATACGATTTTCTATCGAAGTTATTGGTGAGTCCTCCATTCCGGGGACGTTGCTTATGATCTTTTGCTATGTATAAGACTTTTCCTTTTTTTTTGTTATGTATTGACTATGAGGGTGAGCCCGGTAGTTTGTCTTGGCCCCCGCTAAGTACCCATGTTTAGAGGTGGTGTTGGACAAGTTGTGTATTATGCTTGAGCTTGACTCATCTATGGTATTTATGTATCATTCCTTTTTTTCTTGCTCCCTTAGTCCTGATTTCCCCATTGATTATGCTTATCGCTTATGGTCATTTTAATTGCTTCCGCGACCAAGGATGTGTAATGATACGCTATGAGGCTTGTTTGGGGTTCCTTCGGGTTCCCCATTCGCCGGTCACGTCTAGGCCCTAGGCTTGGGTCGTGATATATTTAAAGTAAAAAAGACTCACGATTATATATCTATATTGTTTTTTGTAAGAATATATAGGAGGAGTGATGAAATGTTCTTCGAATATGAATATGATGATATACTCGTTTTATACTCTTTCTATTTCATATTAATTGAATTTGTAAGGGCAATGCATAAATATTAAAAAAAACATTGAAGAACATAATTTAAACTATACTTTCCACCAATATCCTTTGTGAAATCATAAATATAAATTTATAAGTAATGTAATTTATCCCTTGAAAAATATAAAACTTCAATAAATGAAAAGACAAATATGAAAAAAAATTGAAACATTCATCTTAAATTTTGAACATTTCAATTATTTTCAACAATCTAGCTAGTATATGAAATAAAGGAAAAATTACTAATGATATTGACCATGTTCAATTTTATTAAATTGCAATACAATAATTTTACTTTTTTACTTAATTAGTAAAATCTAATCTTAAACTTAATTAGTTTTTTTTTCTTGTTTTATAATCTTTCATCATGAAAATAGAAAATATTTTACTTTCGTTTCTTGCAAATATATATATTATACACGAAGGAATGAATAATGCAGAATTTTCTGGACACGTGTCGAAGACCCACATACCAAAAAAACCAGGTGAACTCTCTCTTTACGTTTTTCGTTTTCCAACTCAAACAAAATTCACCAAAACTCTCCGTTTCTCTTTGTCTTACTTTATGCTGTGCTTTTTGTTTGCAATTAGCTTTTGTAAAAGTTGTAATTTTTGGAATTCTGCTGATAAAAATTTACCCGTGACTTGCAATTTTTGCTTCTGGGTATTCTTTTTTTGTACTGTAAGTTGTTCTGCTTCAACTCTAGTAGTAAAAAGATTGAATCTTGTAATTGATTGGTAGTTATGTTATGTAGTACGATTGAGGTATATGTATTGTATATAATTGTTTTTTTCCTTTGTGGGTATTGTTTCTTGATCATGGTGGTTATGATTTTTAATGTTTACCTAGGGCAGAAGATAGCTTTTTTCCCTAAATAGCTGCTGTTTACTTTTGTGGGGTTTGCTTCTTGATCATGATGCTGATGATTTTTACTTGTTTTTGTGAATAATTTATGGGTTTATTGTGTACATAGAGTTTTGGTGTTTGGGTTTTATACTTCTTGTTTGATAATCGTGGTGTTTGGGTTAGCTTGTGCGTGCCTCGACTAGACTAATTCCATTGGATACCCCACCAAGGCTAAAACATGGGAAGAAAGCACCTTGTGTGTTTTTGCTGGGATTTGAACGTTTCATTGACCACTAGGCTACACCCTTGGTGGGTGTTGGGTTTTATACTTTTATATTTTGTGCTTTTATCTTTTTGATAGGATGTATAGAGATATCTTCTGTATGTGAAATTATAGGGGTTTGGGTATTAAGGTAAAGTAGCTTGCTTTCTGTTGTGTTTTTTTGATGAATTATTTCATGGTTTTGGAATGCTTTTGTTGGGAATTTGGTATGAGTTGTAGTTTGGGTAATAAGGAAGCTCTTAAAACCCTTTGTTTGACTTTAGCTGACCAAAATGGCTTTGGAATCTTTATAGATGCAGATATTCCATCCTGTCCATGTATAGGCTAAAAGTTCATCTAAATACATGAAACATATGTTACAAAAAAGTTATACCTATCCAAGTCTTTTAAGAAGTTTTGAGTTTTGTTCGGCGAAGTCATTAGAAAGGTACTCAATTAAGGAACCCCTAGGATTCCCTTTGCTGCCATCATGATCTCATATAAAAAGTTCCTTCCTTGTCTTCTATTCTGAAAGTTTCTGATTATTGGAAACCGGGGAGAGGTATCTGGTTAGCTTATCAAAATGACTTATTTTTGTTAATGGTTGAAGCTTTCAACCTTATTTGTGTACTTCTGTTTGATCGGTTCAATGGCTATATAGTTGGTAGTAGTTCGGATCATCCTACTATAAGAATGCTTACCATGTCTCCATCACCACAGGAATAAAACAATGTTACAAATAGATGAGCTTGTGCTATTTGTACGCTAATTTAAAGCATTTGATTTAGTTTCAGGTTTTTGGTTGAAAGAATTTCTATTGTACTGTTAAAATTCAAGTAGATGGTAAATGTAATTTACTAGAAATAGAACAACTACCCAAGCAAGTTAGGGCTTAGGACCACCAATGTGAGCAAGCTCACTCCGGGAATAAATTTTGCTGATACTAGAAGTTTGCTCTATCATCTAGGAGTGCAAGGTGTAAACTTTGTTATGGAGAATGATATTGATTTGTATCTCGTTTATGTTGGGGCATTAATTATACATTAGCGGGGTGATTTACATAGGGGTGATGTGCATTATTTTTATTGATTGAAGTTGGTGAATAATCCTGCTCAACAGAATTTTGTAATTTATGCAGCTCATACAAGTTCTAATAGGGAAGCATCTTGTAAAATTCTGCAGTTGAAAGCTATATCATCTTGCAGCACTATATTCGTTGAACCCTTGGAAAGTTGTCAAAGTGTTATGCGATGGATTTGAAAGGTATAGCATGGGTTGGAGATATATACCAGAAATTTGAAGCGATGTGTTTGGAGATGGAAGATGCCATGTACCAGGTAAAATTAACCACATGTCTCTTACTATTTGATTTGGTTCATCCCTGTTTTCGGGTTTGTTAGCAAGGTCATAGTGGAGCTTCCCTCAGCAGTCAGCAGGGCTATTTTCTTACCAACGGGTTGTTTGACCCTAGAGCACTAGGAACGTTTGAATGAATTGAACTTTGATCATATTCAATCAACCCAAAAGAAAGGAGATTGAACACTGACTATAAATTGCAGATGTTGCTATATTGACCGTTCCATGGAGCTTATTTTTCTCTGAGATACCTAATAAATCACCAGTAACATTTGGTACCTAATGATAGGTGCTTGCATCTCTTTGTTACAAGAGAAAAGACATTGATTTTACTTGGAGGAAAGGCTAGAGAAAAATTATCCAAGCGTGCCCCTCATTCATTGCCCTTACTTACATAATTGATACTTCAACTTCTCTCAATGATTAGCAAGTTGCTAGAAATGGCAACAAACCTATATTCTAATTTCGCAGAAAGGTGATAGCGTTGTACATCGAGTTTTGCCTAGCAAGCATTGACTTCCTATATTTATCAATAATACGACGTGGTTAATCCTCCATATAGCTGAACCCAACTAGCTTGGAATTGAGTCGTAGTAATAGTAGTTCTTGTAGTACTCTTGTTGCTGTCCTGACTTTTATTTGGGGACTACACTCTTCTTAACAAAATAAAACATTTATTTCATTTTTCCAATGCACATCAGATTTATTTTTGCCACTATCCGACTCCTGAGTAGGTAATTATGTTGCATTGGAAGGATGGTGTGCATATTATGTTAATAAATCAAAAGACATTCATGGTTGTTTATTCATCAATTTATTAATCGTTTCTAATCAATTGCTTCTTTGAAAATGTTCCTAACTTCAATATGTAATACCTTTTAATTCACCTTGCACCACTTTGGCCAATTAAGTATTCAACCACCGTAACTGGTTCCATGTTATATCACAGGATACCGCTAGATATGTTGAGAATCAAGTGCAGACTGTTGGTGCAAGTGTCAAGAGGTTCTATTCAGATGTGGTGCTAGATTTGCATCCTCAATTTAACATAGATCCTGTGAAAGTTGCAGCTGCTGACTTGTCTCTTAATCCTTATGCTCACACTGAAATCAGCAAGAAGCTGAAAGCAAAACTCAAAGGAGGACACCCTATGGTAATTAATAAGGAATTAATTGATGATACTCAAGTGATCAAGGGTAAGGATAGTGATCATTCATCATCTTTTAGTCCAGTCAGAGCTGCTAATAGTGTATATTATGATGTGACAGGGAAAAGCAAAAGTGGAGGAGTTTATAGACGTCAAAGTGTTGGGATCAAAGAGATTGTTAGAGATAATCATCCACCATCTAAGAAGTCGGACGCTCTCTGTCTAGTATCAGGGAATGCAATTAAATTGTCCTCAGATTCTAAGGTTAGGGGAGGTTTTGAAGTGGCATCCGACCACATGACCATGACTTCACCCTTGGCCTCAGTTAAAGGACGTAGCTCTGCCGAGACAGGAAAAGAGGTTTCCAACCATATTATAAAAACAGATGTGTCTGCAGCAGGTATATCAATTAATGTTGCAGCTTCTGACAGGAGCTTATCAGTTGACTGTGTTGGGCAGAACCAAGCAGATCTCAGGAACACTTCCTCTGTTGGTGACTTGCAATCAGACTCTCATGGTATAAATGTCTAGCAGTATCCCACTTATTTTTATTTTCTTTTATTTTTCTCACTTCTTTTCTTTTGTGTTAACTCCTGCTCTGGCAGCAGATAGGGGTACATGCAAGGAGTTGGCTGGTGATACTGGATTAAAGATTAGCAGTAATACTGGTGACAATAATATTGCCAGCGAGGAGATCAATAATATTGCAAAGATTAGCAGTAATACTGGTGACAATAATATTACCGGCGAGGAGATCAATGAGTCCTGCAAAGGTACTTACAATAGCCACCTGTAAAAAGATCTTCTCCCTTCTCTTTTTTTGCTTCAATTTTGATGGACTCACTACTCTGATATTATCTTGGAGAGTAGCTTTCATATCAATTGCTGAAATTTAAATGGGGTTATAATTCTGCCTGAGTTAGACAATATTATGTAAAAGCATATCGCGAACTATGGATCGAGTTAACAGTTCTATTGGATGAACTGTTAAATTGAACCTAACTAGTATAATTGAAGGACTTAAATCTGTGATTAGGAATATTTTTCAGCAACATACCCATGTAATCCCACAAATGTGGTCTGGGGAGGAGTTGGGGGTAGACTGTAAGCATAGTCGCAGACCTTGCCCCTACCTCGTAGAGATAGAGAGGCTGTTTCCGATAGGCCCTCAGCTTAAAATTAAACATTTCCTAACAGTTTGAAAATGAGAATACAGAACTGAGAGTAGTAACAACAAAGAAGTAATATGAAATGGAGAACAGTGCACAACATATAGAAGAAAGAACAGTAATGACAGCAAAATGGTGCGATAATCGAAGCACAAAAAACACTGGTTAATACAGGAACCGGAAAACAGGAAACTACAAGAATAATGCTAATACCATTCGTAAGAAAGAAGGTCCAAGTACGATCACCAATCCTATATGGGTCACCTTAATAGGGCATCCCACTGATAAGACTCCTGCATTGACATTGCCGTGTCATCCCACCCAAGGCAAAAGGGCCCTTATGTTTTCTCTTTTCTTTCTACTTAGTATACCAACTTCCAATAAAATAAAACGAAGGAATACTTGTGCAACTGAGCAACATTCTCCTGCTGTTCAGATATTTCCAGCCTGATTCCTTAAAACTGGTTCTTTTTTAAGTCTCTTAATCCTTTCGTTGTGTTTTGCCGTCTTCTTTTACAGAAAGATCAGATAAATCTTGTTCTCCTCCACCCGAGAAGTATGACTTGATTGAGTCCGATGTGGAAATTGTTGAGCACTATGATGAATCAAAGTTGGAGGAAACATGTGTCCTGGTTGAAGCGGAGAAACTTCATGTACCACAGGAATCAGTCAAACAGAAATCATACAAGGTCCCATCTCCCTCTCCTTCCTCTCGCGTTGTATTTGCTATTTCTTGCTTTTCATCAATATGTTTTATCATTAGTTTGGTCGTGGGGGACGAGGGAGGGGCTGTTTCATTGAAGAATGTGTGCCTTTAGATATTGACAGTTCAGTTGTTTTATCAGAAGAAGCTCAGGCAAGTGTTTTCTATGAAAAAGAAGTCGACAAGAAAGGAGTATGAGCAACTTGGAGCATTACATGGAGATCAACAGCCTAACCTAGAGCCTGAAGAAAAGCCGATGCAGGTTCTCTCCAAAAACTCGAACATGAAAAAATTGTCATCAGCTGATGATCATTCCGAATCTGAGTGGGAACTTCTCTAGATATGACACATTACAACAACATACCCAATGTAATCCCACCAGCAGAGTCTTGAGCTAGATATGATGCTATAAAATTGTAATGTTGCTTTTGCCAATCAATAGATGGCTTTGTACAGAAAACTAAAATTGAAAGCAGAAGCACCTGGTGTATTATAATAAGCCAATTATTTCTCTTTAAACTGTTTCATCAATATAACCAGTTACTAATACATGGTGGCAAGTTAAAGCACCTTTTGTTTATGGACTATGGTGAATAGAAGGCCTGTTTCATCTCTTCTTTAAAACTTCCTTTTTAAGTATATACAATAATAGTTAGTCTCAAACAAGCCAAGTCACTATGTGAATCTTGTTTATTATGTTTAAAAATAAATATGATTCGTGTGTGATATAGTAGTTAATGAAGTGACTGTTAGATAATTTTTTCGTATTTATTTTAATTTTGAAGGATAAAATTATCTGATACTTGCTACGAAGCTTTGTTGTATGATGAGAGATTGACAAATATATGCATAGTTGCAAGGCATGAAGACACGTTAGCATTCAGTATAGCTGACTCATCCAGTGTGGCTTATGTTTTTCTTGCCACGTCACAAACAAAAAGCTCATCAATTGCCACGTGTCATAAGATAATAATAAAATAAAATACTAGTACCATCTGCCTCATCCAGTTTGGCTTATAATTTCTTTCAAATCTGTTCTTGGAAGGGAAAAAATAATAATTTAGAGCATAGTTTATTTAGTAAGAAAACAAAAAAATGGCTTCAGAGAAAGCAAAAAGAGAAAATGTTCATCCTGCTATTCATATAAAAAGTGTTGCTACTGCTCCTGGTGAACATCAGCCTGCTGTTAAAGTTGGAGGGTTGGAGTTCTCTAGTGGAATGCAGCAACAACAAAAAGATTGTGACACACAAAGGGACAAACATTCTTCTCATAATGTTGATCAAGGTACCTACACTACTAAAAAACTTGTACTATTTTTTTCATAAATATCTTGATTGAATCGCTAAGATTAATCTGAATTTGCCTCGAATCTCAGGAATTCGAGGAGAAGGGCTAGGAGGTTTCAAAATTGAATCACATAGGAAAGTAGGTGAAGAAGGAAGAGTCCATGGAGGGATTCATCCTCAAGAAGAAGGTAATAAGAAAAGAGCCGAGAGAAAAAAACCCGCACTAACACCAGCTGCTGTGCTAACTGAAAATCCCGACGAAAAGGCAAAGGATTTTGGGGCGTCAGCGTTAAATAATGCGAAAGAATCAGCTAGTCACGGGCATGGTGCTGAATGTTACAATGAAACAGCACTAGGTGCACAAGGTAAAGACACTGTTGGTCATGGTGTTAGAAGTGGCTCTCAGTATGTTGCTGATAAGGCTGTAGCTGCTAAAGACACTGCCATTGAAAAAGGTCAGTTGTATTTTCAACACGGAACATAGATATATTGAAAAGTTACTAAATTTTGATTACAATGCATAACCAAACACTATTTTTGAGGTGAAAAAAGTGAGAAATTTGTAGAAAGATACCCTTTCAAGTGCAGGTGCACAAGCCAAAGATGCTGTCATCCATGGCGCTCAGATTGGATCCGAGTATGTAGCGGACAAGGCCAGAGTTGCAAAGGACACTGCTCTCGAAAAAGGCCAGCAAGCTTATGGTGCAACTAAAGATACCCTATCGGGTGCAGGACAAACAACAATGCAATCAGCACAACAGACTAAAGATTACACCCTGCATTTTTGCGGGGAGTCGAAAGATTATGCTGCCGAAAAGAGCAAGAATGCAGCAGGATACATCGGGCAGAAAGGCGTCGAGGCAAAAGATGCCACTGTGGAAACAGGGAAAAGCGCGGTAGGGTATGCAGGGGAAGCAGCTAAAACCGCGAAGGATATGGCGGAAATGGGAGCTTTTGGTGCTGCACATTATACAGCAAAAGGAGCAGCCGCGGCTACAAAAGCCACGGCTGATGTTGTTTCTAGTGCTGCAGGGTATGCAGGGGGGAAGGCTGTCGCCGCGAAGGACGCCGTTGCTGGTGCTGGTAAGAGCGCGGCGGAGTATGCAGGGGACAAATTGGCTGCTGCTAAAGATTACGTAGTCTCGGCGGAAGAAGGTGCAGTTGATTATGCAGGTAAAAAGAAGGCAGAAACTGAGAGACAACTAGAAGGTAATTCCAAGGTAAACATTAGGTTATTATCTCCTTGTTTTCGGCTCAAATTTACTGTACATTGTATATATATATATACATATGCGCTTGAGGTGAATTCATGTTTATGACCATTATTCTCTTCTTTTTTCTTTTTTTTTAATTTTAATGCATTGAGCTGAATTCTGTGTTAAATGTGTGTACAGCGAGAAAGCGGAGGCGGAGTTTTTAGAGGAGAAAAGGAGGACGCAGAGGAGGGCGGAGAGAGCAAGAGCAAGCCGGTGTTGCAGCAGCAGCAGGGAGGCGGTGGGGTGCTGCAAGCAATTGGTGAAACTCTGGTTGGAATAGGGAAGACTACAACAGATTTTGTTGCTGGTGGGAATAAGCTATCTCAAACTGGTTATCAACAGGGAAGTGAAAAAAGGGAGTAGTAGAATAAACAAGTCCCATCCAAATAAAATAGCCCAAGTATTAGGCATTTTGGCCTCTTTTTGAAGTTTGTTTTACATATATCATAGTAATAATATAGTTGTGAAAGGAAGTACATATGTTTGTATTTTGTTGCCTCCTAAAACAAGAATTATGTGAAAAAAGGGAGTTGCGTGAAACTTGTGTATGTATTTTCTTGGCTTCTAAAGCAAGAATTATGTGGAGAAGGGAGTTAAGTGAAACTTGTGTAGGTAGCGTATTCAGGATTTTGATTTTGAGATGATGATTTTGAGATGATGAGTGTATTATTACAAAAGCAAGAATTATGTGGAAAAGGGAGTTAAAAGAATTATGTGGAGAAGGGAGTTAAGTGAAATTTGTGTATGTTAGTGTATCCAGGATTTTGAGATGATGAGTGTACTATTACAAAAAGGTTGATTTAAGATATAAATGTGATTGGTTCGATAGATAGGTTCTTATTATTGAAAATTGTAAAAAAATTTAATATTATAGGGCCAAAATTTGAGAGGTGTTATCTAATTTAAGAAAGAAAAATAAAATAAAATAAATATAAAATTTAAATTTTTAACCTAGCGTAGAGCGGTATATCCAAAAATCATCGCATTATATAATACTTGAGTATGGGAGTACACATTTATATTTCACGGGTTCCTCCCTGATTTTGTTGTTTGCTAAATGAAAGTATGATATGCTGAAAGTTCCTTTTAAGTCATTTAAAATTTAAAAAAAAAAAAAAACATAACACACATTAACACCCTTGACAGAAAAATTAGCTTAGTACATGTATAAACAAAAGCAAATAATCAATGCATTAATACACAAATTAATCATGCTTTAAATCGCAAATTAATAAAAATTATAAACGTTTCACTTTATTGTAAACCACAACCAACTATATATAAACCACACAATAAAACACATTTCACATAGGTATAAAGAAAAAAAGAAGTTACAAGAGAGAATAAATAATTAATGGCTTCTCTATTTAGCACCACTTTCATTATTTTTTCCATAACACTTTTTTTATTCCTCAATATTTCTCAATATTCTATGGCTGATCAACCTCCACTTACTACAAAAAGTGTATTAGAGTCAGCAACAAAACTTGCTTTAAAAAAAATAAATGAAGCAAAAAATGTGGGGAAAAAATATTGTATTAAACAATTATCATATGCACACAACAAACTTGAAGAAGCAATGAAGAAATACAAAGAACAAGATTTTGTTAATGTTATTTCTTTAGCTAATGAAGCACAAAAATCTGTTAATAAATGTCATGGAAATGAAGATTTAGGAAGTCTTATTCAAACAGCTATAGAATTGGCTAATATAGACTTAGATTTGAGTTAGTGACTTTGATCATAGAAATCATACTTAAACAAATTAATCACAATAATATGATTATATGAACTTATGTCCTTTTTTTTTTTTACGTGTTTGGTTATAATGTTGATTAACTTTCTTCTGTTGAGACCGATTGACATCTCTAATAAATGTAGTTGAATGAAACAACGAACGTGTTTTCTTATTTTTGAGAAATTTATTTTTCTATTGGAAATATTTTTCAAAAATTTATGGGACGTGAGAAAAATTAGATGCTCCTCAAACCAGCTATCAAACGACTCCTTACTGTCAAACACAAAATGAGCGGATATTAGGTGCCTAGTTAATTCTTCAAAAAAGAAGAAGAGAGAATTAAATTTACTATTCAACTTTGATTATGATATAAAGTTGCTAAGATTAATGCTCCGTTAATATAAATTAAACCTTTTTAAAAAAAATATTAACAGGATAATATTAGAGTAAAAAAGTCAAATAGAAAGCAAATTATGCTATGTAATGTAATACGAAGCACGAAATTATTTATTTTAAGATGTATTTTATACATTGTTTTATTTTGTTACTAGCTCATACGATTCATTCACTGTCATATTTCTTTTACATGTTTCTTGAGAAAAATATTAACTAAAAATATAATTTAATTTAATTTAATTTTTTAAGCTCAATATAATTCGTTTTTGTCATCACTTTAATCTCTCTACATTATTGAGGTTAAAAGTAAAAACTGAAAACTAATGTTATTAGTTATATCTTGGACATTAGTTTCTTTTTACAACTATTTTGAACTATCTATTTATTATTTTAATAGAGAAAATAAATAAATTGGACAGAAGATAATAGTTTTGATGTGAACAACTGAACATTAATGCTTGTACTAATTAATTTATTGAAGTGTTATAAATTTAAGGGTCAAATATACTTCTCAATATTGTAATTTAGAATGGACATATTCTTCGTTACACATACATTTTTAATGTCTAACAAATGTGCATATTTATCTTTTTTGTAACATAATTTTATTATAAGATATATTTAAAAATTGATCCTTTTTAATTTTAAAAGTGTAATGTGACTTTAAAAAATTACCTTACTCATTTTTTTACCCCTCCAGACCTGTCCTAAACGTAAAAAAAAAAAATTAAAAATCAATCCCTCTTCTACTCGAGACTAAATAAAAGAGGTTTGAGTTTTTTTTAGTTGAGTCGGATTTAAAGGAATAAAAAAATAGATTAAGTAATTGTTTAAACCACATGATTTTTTTGAAAATAAAATATCAATTTCAATTTATTTATTTCAATTAAGTTTGTTAACAAAAGGGATAAATACACCTCATTTGTTAGGACATGCATCAAAAGGCAAATAAATAATGCCTTAAATTGTAAATTAATAAAACCATAAACGTTTCACTTTATTATAGACCACAATCAACTACATATATAAATCACACAATATAACATATTTCACATAGGAAAAAAAAAGTTACTACAAAAAAGAATATAATTAATGACTTCTTTATCTAGCACCAATTTCATTGTTCTTTCTCTAACAATTCTTTTATTTTTCAATAATTCTCAATATTCTATGGCTTTTATAACAGAAGATTATATAACTGGAGCAATGGTATTTTCTTTGATAAAAGTAAATCATCCCGAAACTGCGGGAGATAAAAATTGTATCGACGAATTATTAAATGTATACAACAAGCTTGAAATTGTACTAAATTATCAAAAAGAAAAAAATTATCATGAGGTTTCAAACTTAACAAGTGAAGTTCAAACTATTGTTTATGCTAATAAAAATAAATGTGAAGGATATAATTATTTAGGAAATATTATTTCTGCAGTTCAAGATTATACTATGATGACATTAGAAATGGAAGGATGATTGAAATTATACTGTATCATTTTTTCGATAAACAATTTATTGTTGATCAAAATTATATATAATGTAAAAACCTTACTTATTTGGCCTTTTAATATTTTGACTTAATTTTATCTTTCAATCTTCTTACATATGCTAACTCATGCACATAGGCGGATCCACATGATTTGGTGGGGTGCACGTCGGGAAAAATTATGTGTATATATGTATATCTATCTTGAGAAACTGACATAGAGTAGAGTATAATTAAGCATGGGAGTGCCTTGGTGCCGCTGGTACATGCCAGAACACCAAGGTTCGAATTCAACTACTACTCACACCGTTTCAATTTATATAATGATATTTGTACAAACTTTAAGATTTTTATTTTGAAACTTATAATTTTAAACAATATTTTTTTTTACTTTTAAAGTACACAATAAATGGTGAAATGAAAAGATTTAAAGTTACTCATCTCTTAATAATAATAATAAAAGACATCATTTATGAAAGAGAGTAAGAAAAATAATGTAACATAAAATAAAATAGATGAAGTAGTAGATATTTTTCATACTACTCATGAGATGTATTTCAAATGACATTTTTTCATTACACCTACTAATCAAGATATAACAATAAGATTAAGAGTACTAATTAATTAATTAACTAGGAATTCTTGGAATTAATGATGCTTAGGGTCAGGTCCTCCAGGACTATTCCTCATAAGCTTGTACTTTCTTTCTTGGCTCTTATCAACTTTCTTACTCTCGAAAAGTACTCGAAATGGTTCAGTTAGCTTTTTTTTCTTACGTTGTTCAAACTCTTTAAAAGTGTTGTCATATTCGTAACGAATCTTCCGAAAATGCATTATTTTTAGAGGATCCAACACACCCCTTGTGACATTTTTGAAGAATTCGAACAACATAACTTTTTTTGGCCTTAGAATTCGAGCTTCCGTACATTGCATCATAATTATGAGAACCATAATTACACAAATGTATAATTTCCCTTGAGACATTTTCATAGACTATAAGTTGTATGCTTTAATTTACACTAAAGAGAGTTGTAGCTATTTATGGACATAATGCTCTAGTATATATATAGATAGTTTTTTCATACAAAATTAGAAGTGCACAAGTAGCGTATGTCATTATTTCATTAAATTAATTAATTTGCTTACGTAGTACATTAATTTGGATGTATCTTAAGATAATGACTTACAGCAAATATGTAGCTTTTGGTACAATATCATCTAAATTCATAACTTTCGAACACAGTATATATATATATATTGAAAGGAACGCATATATATAGGGTTTATGCAAAAGCTATTGCAAATATGCTCCTGTATATGTAAAACTCTACTAAAATCGTAACAAATATTATATTAACAAGTTCAATATTAAAAATCTTAAAATTTAAAAAGTTTGTATTAAATTTAATTTTTTTTTACCTAAATATACATCTTATTTTACCATAATCTCTAAAATTCCCTACCATATAAAAAAAATTCAAAAATCCCTTCTCGGATACATCATACATCCCTATTCCCCTCTCGGTTACATCCCTCCCTTCTCTGATATATATCCCTTTTCTCTCTAATACATTCCTCCCCTCTCTGATACACCCCTCTCCTATGTATCTGAATATCTGTTGATGTATCCTAAAGTCCTGTGATGTATCAAAATTCATAAATTTTAAGGGATTCTTTTAATTTGAAAAAGAGTAGAAAAATAATGTAATTAACTCTTAACACTGTGAAATTTATTTAAATATACTAAATTTAAATTCCAAATCCGTCTCTGATGAGCTATCCATATTTTTATGGTCTTGGGAGGAAAATATATATAATTCAACCTAGTACACTTTCGAACATGTCAAGATTCTTAGACAATTTAAGATCCAAATGTGTACTATAATAATTTGATAATTATTAGTGAGTGTCGAGTCAAGCTTTTGGCCTTTTTAATTAACAACTTGTTATGAGGAAAAGCCCACAATCCCCTGCGAGGCATCGAAGGGTCGCCATCTTCATTTGACCTTTTAAGCACAATAATTATTACTTTGTTTTCATTATGTTGTTGATATTGTTCTCTTCTTCTT